ACCACAAAAGCCACTTCTGCAGTGGCAGCTGTTTTCCAGTCCTGTTCACATGCCGTGGGTGGGCTCTCCACGCCTCATCCACATGTTACTGCCTGCTGTTTCATACACATGGTGTGCGTGTGTGTGTGCGTGTGAGTGTGTGGTTTTAGACAGGTCCCGCTGTGTCACAATCCTGCCCCAGCCCCCTGAGTAGCTGGGACCACAGGCATGTGCCCAGATCTTTCCCACGGAGTCTCATGATGTTGCCCAGGCTGGCCTCAAACTCACGATCCTCCTGCTCTACCCGTCAAGGAGCTGGGGCTGCAGCTATACACCACCGTGTCTAGCTTTGCAAGGGGTCCTGGGACTCAAACTGGGGTCTCCCACATGGTCTAGGCCTCCCACATGCCAAGCAGCAGCCTGCAGCTACTGAGTCAGACCACAGTCTGGTTTTTGCTTTTTTTTTTTTTTTTTTAATAGTAGCCATCCTAATGGGTGTGCTGGTTCTTGATTTTTAAGAGCCAAGACTCCCTGCATGGAGAACAGGGCCCTGAGTGAGGGTCTATGCTGGGGGCCAGAAAGCATTTTATCTTCACAGCCCTGTGCGAGAAGCTGCCTGCTCAGCTCACCCTGACACACCCAGCACCTAGGTGCCTGGATTCCCAGAGGTGGGCCCAGTGTAGACACTGCTGTACTCTGTGATAAAAACACACCAGCCAAGCCTCCCCTAACCCACAACCAACATATTGGTCCCCCTGCAGTGGGAAGCCAGCGAAGGGGCAGCCGGCAGCCTCCTCCCTTGGGCCCCGCCACCTCTCCGCCCACCGCTGGGCAGTTTGCTCTCAGTCAGTTGCGTTTGTTCCCCACTGTGTTTCTGACAGTTCCCTTGTCATGGTAATTACTGTTTGCAATCGAATTAAATGTTATATTAATGGATGAATCAGAAGTGCACAAACAAGGACAGATGTTTCTTATGAAAATTCAACTGAACGCTTTGAGAGACACAATATACGTGAGTCCCCAAAACAGAGACGTCGAACTGGGTGTGGGTGAGACAGATGTCAATCACTGGGTGGGAGGGATCGGCAGAACGGAGATGGGGGTCTGTGGCCAACCCCTTTACGCCCTGGAAGCTCACCCTTCGCTTGGAAGAATCTGGAGCTGGTGTTGGAGCTGGTGCTTCATCCATGTGGACTCAGAGCTGCAAGGGACGGGCCCATCATGGGGGATCTCAGAAAGATGAGTGGCGGTATGCTCGCCCCGGTTAAGTTACACACGTGTATGGGTTGAACTGGTAGGTTGAAAAAAAAAAACGCGTAGTCCTAACCTCTGGGACATGTGACAGTGACCTAATTTGGAACGTCTTCACAGATGTAATCAAATTAAGATGAGGTCATTGGGAGGTCATTAGCCTAATCCGGTATGCTTGGTGTCATACAGAGAGGAGAGACAGAGACCGACTGGGAGAACACCTCGTGACCACAGAGGCATGATGCAGCGGAAGCCTTGAGGCACGAGGGCTTGTCAGCCTCCACTCAAGGCCAGCACGAGATAGGGAAGGGTTCTCCCCAGAGAAGCACGGCCTTGCCGACACCGACACCGCGCTTTCGGACTTCCTTTAGTCGGCTCGAGCTGCTATGATAGCTTAGACTGGGCGGCTCAAACAGCATACATTTATTCTGCACTGCTCGAGGCTCCGGAGTTCAAGGTGCCGCAGATTCGGTTCCCGGCGAGCGCTGTCCTGGTTTGCAAACGGCCACCTTCTTACTGTAGCCTAACATGGCCAAGAAATCACAGCTCTCTTAGGGTACTAATCCCATGAGAAGGGCGCCACCCCTACCATCTAATTACGCCTCAAAGGCCCTACCTCCAAGTACTATCACGTCAGGGATCAGGCTACTGCACGTCAATTCTTTTTTTTTTTTTTTTGGAGAGGTTTTTCGCTATAGGGCGTGTGC